TCTCTCTCTCTCTCTCTCTCTCTCTCTCTCTCTCTCTCTCTCTCTCTCTCTCTCTCTCTCTCTCTCTTTCTCTCTCTCTCTCTCTTTCTCTCTCTTGATCGATTCGTCGATCGATCGATCGTTGATCGTAGGCGAGACGTCACTGTACAATGTAAAAAGTTCTCTCTTCCTCACGCCTGCAGCACGTGACGGCGGTTTGAGAAGGGAGTATCGGGGGGAGGGGGTCAGATAGGTAAGTGAAAGCAGCGGCGAGCTCCGATATCCTGATTCTCGATCCAATCCGACCCCGAGAAGATGGCGATGACGTCATAGCATATATAGCACAGCTAATTATCATTCAATTACCCCGTTGACGCGTGGTAATTTGTAGATTTTGGCTTTTTGCTTCGTTATATCTAAGCTGCTTCCGCCGCTCAAGATGTTTTCTTCCTTCTGTCGTCACCTTCATGGGACACATAAAAGAATAGAATATACATTCTTGTAAACATCTTTTGAACATGAGTCAACGCACGTATAAAAAAATACATGTCTTAGATTTTTTTTGTTTAACAACATATTTCAAGGAGAATCAAATCGGTTCCGGATAATTTGTGACATGTCTCTTGTAAGATAATCTCAAGATCTTATGAAAAGCTAATATTTAAAGATAATCTTAAGAGATGAAAAATTTACATGAGAAACCAACATTTATAATATTAAATTATTAAACAAGATTAAATCTATTGACGATTTTCTCAACGTGCACTTCTTTGAAGAAAAAAGATACTTACGTGCAACTTTTAAACGTTTCTATCTCTCTCATCTGTTTTGTGTTTTGTACAAGGTAGCTCGCGGCAATGTTGCGCTACTTGGGCATAGCTTGGCCTCGTAAGATCCTGCAAAGAACAAAATATTTATTAGCTAGCGGTAAAAATATTCATTACTCTGTAGAGTATAAAAATCATCACAAATATAACATATAAATTTGAATAAAATTTCATAAAAAGATTTATAAAATATATAAATCAAATTTTATAAATATCACTTACAACATCCAATAATTTCAAGATTATCATATGCATTTCTAGAATCTTTACTTGATTATTTACTTAGTTGGAACTTTATATAATTTAACTTTATCTATAATCTATTCAATCGAATAGGTTTCTGAATTCTTAGTGTTAATCGTTTTTCCATTTCTAAGCTCTTTATCATCTGAAGCTCTCGCCTCTTCATTCTCTCTAAATCAAAGAACTTTTACCTTCTTATATCTTCCAATTACATTCTTGATATTATGTTTAAAAAAGAGGATGTTAAAAAGGATAAAAGAAATAGTATTTTCTGTAGATTTTGACCTCCTCGATAATGTTATTAAAAAATTGATTGCGTTTATTGAGGAATACCTCGAAAATTGAGCAAGAATATATTGAAATTTGGATAAATACGTCATATCCATGTTCAATTTTCCAAATGTTTTCCAAACGCTACGAACTTTTTAATAATTTTATCACATTCTACAAATAATTTTATCAAAATCTACAAAAAACACTTTCTCTCTTTTCCTCAGAGATCTTCGAGAGTCTAAATATATTAGATGTAGTAAAAATAATGGATTTCTTTTTACTATACCTAATACTTTCAACTTGTAAAAAATGTAGTTCTCTCAAAAGACAACAAGATACTTACTATAGGGAAGGCAGAGGCCATTCCAGTTTGCGATTGGGAGTTCTGTGAAGAGGCAGTAGGAGGAGGGACGACGACGACGTTGTTACAATCGCACCTGGTTACCATCTCGGCATCATCCGTGGTCGCTGCGGCTGATGTCGCCGTCGTTGCCGTTGTCGTCGCTGTCGTTATCGTCGACGTGGCTACTGCCGGCAGGTGCGTATTCGCAACTACAGCGTCGTCCACACCGTTCACCATGTTCGAGTCGTCAGTCTTTATAGATCTGTCAGCGGTGCATTGTCAGTAGTAAATGACTAATACATGCTTACTTAATTACTCTGAGATTCTAGGATCCGCAGCGATATCCTCGTGCGAATCCTTTAGATTCTCAGAGATATTTCCATATCTTTCGTCATTCTTAGATCATACAAATCTATGAATACGGTGAAACTTTAAAACCTTCGGAAAATGTATCTTTGGGAATTTATAGGTACCCAAGATTTTTGTATATCGCGAGATTTGTAGATTTGCATATCCTTAAATCCTTGGACACACCGAGACCGTTGCTCCTCATCGAAAATATGTGCGTACAAAATTTGTACAAACATCGATTTATGAATACAATAAAATTATAGCTCAAGATCAGAAATTAAAATCACTTGCGATAGTATGATACTGAGAGAAAAATTTTTTGGTTCTTATATAATACATGTCATTATAATTATGATTATTACTGCTGTAATGTTAATAATAATAATTATATATATGGCTTCATCAACAAATCTATAGTTAGTGGCAATCCGAAAATGAATAATATAATTATATCACAAAAATAGTTGAAATTCCTATAATATAATTTAATCATTTTCGATGCCCAACTATATAATGATT